CCTATAGGTATTACAGAAATTGAATTCATAGTTACAAACCATTCAGAAAATAACATCCGAGGCCAAGTTGGTTTTACTGGCCATCCTATGGATGCATTCCAAATGTGTCACGCTAAGTACAGGAAGCCAGATTCCAAAGAGTACATATACAATATTCTGGAAAAGGCGAAACTACGTGGATGGAAAACTAGATTCATTATTTCAAGGGGTTTGGGGTAGGAGGGTTTGACTATAAGAGGGCACAGGGGACTGGGGACAGTGAGACTCTTCTATGGCTCGCCTGTGCTGGTGATATGGCTGTCCATACTTGGATAATTAGATAAATTTTACTGTGTGTAAGTTATACCTTAAAAGGTTTTGATGGCTGGATAGCAGATCTATACATGGTAACTGACCTAATGGAATAGAGTGGGCTGTAAAGAAAGCGGAAAACCTCAGGATCTATAGCACAGACTTCTCAAAAAGAACCAGTATGTCTAGATATGAAAATGGGAGGGAATGCTAACCCTAGGAGTATTTGGGATGGGAACTATTTGAAAGCAATTACTATACCCTTAAGTCTTCTCCCCACACCATACTTCTGGACCAATGTACCTTCCTATTGCAGAAATCTGGAGTTTCATTTTCTGGAGTTTCTAATAGTGAAACAGGTGATCCCCACTGAGGAGTCCCAGACACAGTTTAGGGCCTGGTGACAACATTGGAAGGTTAGGAGATGGAGAACATACTTAATACAGAATATTTAGCCCTGGCTGGTGTGGCTCAGTGGATTGAGCGCCGGCCTGCGAACCAAAGGGTTGCTGGTTCAATTCCCAGTCAGGGCACAGGCCTGGGTTGCAGGCCGGGTCCCCAGCAGTAGGTGTGTGAGAGAGGCAACCACACATTGTTGTTTCTCTCCCTCTTTTCCCCTCTCTAAAAATAAAATCTTTTACAAAAAGGAATATTTAGAGACAGACACCTTCCACCTAAGCTGCCAGAGCCCCACAATAAGACCCCCACTGTGCAGAAGAGGACTTTTGATCATTTGTGAAGCGGACATGCCCAAGAGAGATGTCACAGAGGTAGCAGCAGCTCCCAGGACTCACCCACTTCTCTCACTGGGGAGCTCCAAGTAAATAAGCAGTGTCCCCAGCCCAAAACTTCCAATCCCTTTTTATTCTAACAGCTGTAATTTCAAACAGAAGGCAAAGGACTGCCAGATCTCTAAAAGAAGGGCCTCTATCATGAAAAATAAACACCAAATCAATCAAGTGAAAAATGGCAATTTGTGAGAAACAAACTCAGCTAGGAAAAGAAAAAAATTTAAAGTTATGAAGTACTTCCAGTTCTTCAAGATTTGAAATAAGAATGATGAACACATTTCCTTTTATTCCTGCCACTAATCACACCACCACAAGTCACCTACCAAAAGACTCTGGAAGGTGGGCAAAAGGACGTAGACTGGCTAGGGACCTCCGGACCGAAAGAAGGTCCCAGCGGGGAGTTCCTGGGGTGTTTCTAGTCCCCATGGGTCCAACTTGGGGCTATAGAAGCCTGCAACCTGGAAATGCCAACAGCCTCCCCCCAACAACACACACGTATTGGCCATAGGAAAAGCCAAAGGCCAGGAAAGGGTGGCCCAGCCTGACAGAAACCTGCTCACCATCCAGCCTGTTTTGAGGAAAGTGCATCCCTCTGTCCCCTGAAAGGCACTGAAGAGGTGGTGGGAGGCCATGTGCCACACCCTTCCCCTGCAGTAAAGTTACCCCTGTCCGGCCTGTAGGCCAAGATGTCTCAACCTCAGCGTTACTGACATTTGGGGCTGGAAAATTTGTTGTCTGGAAAGTGTCCTGTGCATTATAGAATGTTTAGCAACAGCCCCTGCAGAAACTTTGTAACTAAACTGCCACTAGAACCAGCGCACTAAGGTGAGCCAGAATATGCATTCCGGACCTAGCAGGTTAGCTACCTGCTACAACAGATTTAAGTGGGAGCCAGAGCGTCATAAAATTGTACTCAAAATGCATATGATATAACCCAAAATTACTTCTCACTTTGAGAACTAGGAAGATCTCAACTCCAATAAGAAAAGGCAATCAACAGAACTGTTGGACAAAGATTTTAAAGCAGCCATCATAAAAATTCTCCACTGAGCAATTACGAACACACTTGAAATATACCTAAGTACAAGCAACTGTGAAAGAAGAGAAGTTACTGGCCATACATTACAGATGTTCCTCCACTTTCGACGAGGTTACGTCCCAATAAACCCATCATAAATTGAAAATGTCGTAAGTCAAAATTGCCTTTAATACAACTAATCTATCAAACATCACAGCTTAGCCTAGACCAGTGATTTTCAACTGGTGTGCGGCAAGAATTTTTAAAACATGCAGTACCTAGATTGTTAAATTTAAAAAATGCCAATACCCGACACAACAATAGCTATTTGGTGTGAATGAATAAAAGATTTTACCTATTTTTAATCAGATCAGCAAAAATAATTTAGTGTGCTGCAGAATTTTAGTAATTAGTTTATGTGTGTTGCGAGTTGAAAATCGCTGACCTAGCCTAACTTGAACACGTTCAACACTTACATTAGCCTACAATTGGGCAAACTCATCTAACACAAAGCCTATTTTATATTGAAGTATTGAATACCTCATGTATTTATTGAATATTGTACTGAAAGTGAAAAACAAAATGGTTGTATGGGTATCACTTTCACACTGTTGTAAAGTCAAAAAATCTTTGCCAAGTATTGTAAGTCAGGGACCATCTGTAAAAGACAAGGGATGACTATCAAGAAATATGAGGTACAGAGATTTCCCAATACCCCTCGATCGCACACATGCACAGTCTCCCCCATTATGGACCTCTGTACCTTCTTATTAATTTTTCTGTGAACTCAAAACTTCTATAAAAAATAAACTCTATTTAAATAAACAGGTATATATAAATGTGTGTATATATAGGTATATATAGACTGCATATATATACACATACCATGTGCGCACACGAACACGAGGTGTGTCCAGAAGGTATCCAGCCACATAACATGAAAAACAGATGTTTATTTTAGAAGACACAAGACACAAGAAATATTGTACATAGGACAATGATGCCTCAGTCCCCTTCCAAGTAGGCACCTTGGAACCTCACAGAGTTCTCCCAGCTGCCATCAGCTGCTCCCTCATATTTTTCGGAAACTCATCCACGGTCTGAAATCTCTTCCCTTTCAAAGGTGATTTTAGTTTTGGGAAAAGGCGGACGTCTCAGGGCGCCAAATCTGGGCTGTAGGGGGGCTGAGTCACCTGGGTGATTTGATGCTTTGCCAAAACAACCTCTGCATGAGACAGGATGCATAAGTGAGCATGTCGTTGCGATGAAGCTGCCAATCACCAGCTGCCCACAGCTGCTGCCTCTGAGTCACCCCAATAGTATCTGCGGAGGAATGGTCAAGCTTAAAGCAAAATTTGATTCAGATTCGTTGCTCTACTCAGTCATTTTGAATGTGATGGCCACACAGCACACATGCTCCCTCAACGGCATCCACTGCCCTCACTGACTGGTACATTATTGGTCATGCAGTGCATTCCAGCCCATTCTCCTTGGCTGCCAGGTTACATCTGTGTCTTACAAACCGTTCTCAATATATTAACAATGGCTGAACTTCTACCGACATACCTTGTGGGGCTGGGGAGCGAAAAACAGGATTATCTCCTGGAGGGCAGGCTCCTTGTAGCACAGGCTTCCTCCCGCTAGGTCAGTGTCCTAGAAACCCGTCGGTATCAGTGCACCAGCTGTCGTCGTCGTGAGAGGCTGTGTTCAGCTTCAGTGAATTTTTTTGTTGAACTCTTTCAATGTGTTTGCCCTTGTCCTGATGGGTGATTTAGGAGCGCACCTGCCCATGCGGTACTGAATGTTCAGCAGTTTTTGAGGAAAAGTGGGCCCACCCTCCCTATTCACCCCATCTCACCCCAAGTGACTTTTCTCTTTGTTTCCTGGGATGAAAGAAGTCCTCAAAGGGAAACATTTTGCTGATGTAGAAGTGAAACAAAAAACGGCAGCAGCACTAGAGGGACTAATTAAACAACTTTCTGAGCAGTAGAAAAATGTCTTGATAGGTGTATTGTATCAAATGGAGAGTATTTTGAAGGTGACTGAAGTTTAAACATGCAAGAATAGATACACAGCTTTTTATAAATAAATTCCATTTTGGGGGGGTTCCCCCTTGTATATATGAAACACCCAGAGGCTGGCAAACTTTTTATATAACTCGTGAGCTAAGAATGGTTTTTACATTTTAAAAAATGCTTGGAGAAAAACAAAAGAGTATTTTGTGAAATGCAAAAATCAAATGAAATTCAAATTTTGGTGTCTGGAAATAAGGTCTTATTGGAACACAGTCCTGTTCATTTGTGTGCACCTACTGACACAAAAGCAGCACTCTGTAGTTTCCACGGGGTTCAGGGGTACGATGTACTTTCCCAGCCCTTTTTTCTCTGGCAGTCACGTCACTTGCTTTGTTCAATGTCACCTTAGCATATACATAATGAAGATGAGTAACTGCGCTTGCACAATTCCGTTAAACTGCGACATGCGACCAAACCTGGACTTGCTGGACGGATGTTGGAAGACACTGTGGGAACTTATCCCCATCGCATCAGCCAAGAACCAGCCAGCTCACCGGAGCGAGATCACTGGAGGCCACTGACCACAGCCGTCCATGGAGTAAGGTCACCGGAGACCACTGACCACAGCCGTCCTGTGAGCGAGGTCACCGGAGACCACCGACCACAGCTCTAGTGGGTGTCCTAACAGGTCCAGGCAGAAGGGCAAGGGAACACGTTGGGGCAATTCCAGGACGTGAGGAGGTGGGCGCGGCCCTGCCGTCAGGCGTCGTGCGCGAGCCCCGCGCCCTTACGCCTTGCGCGCTGAGCTCTGGCGTCCTTGGGCGTCACGTGCTGGCAGCCATCGCGATAGCAGCGGTTCTGCTCGCACCCCGGGTCTTCTGCGCAATGGCCGTCCTGCACTTCCGCCCAGTCTCGAGCCTCCAGTTGCTGCTGCTGCTCCTTCTGTCCCCCGCTCGGGACGCAGCCACGGCGCACAGGCCCTCTAACAGCGAGGGGGTCCCCGTGAGCCGTGACGTGGGTAGGACACCGCCCCCCAACACACACGGACGGGCTGGCAGTGGTTGGGGGCAGTCTGGCACGCCAGAGGCTCTTTCCCTGGGCCTCTTCTCCCGGCTCGCCCCGCTCCCGGTCCCCTCCTATGCGCTTCTCCCCACCTGTGCTCCCTGCCGCGCCCCTCCCCCCGTGTCTGCACCCCTCACGCGCGCCGCACCGGTCCGCGCAGCCTGTGGCCAGCGTCGTGTGCAGGGGAAGGTCCTGGGGGGCGTTGACGCCCCGGAGAAGAAGTGGCCGTGGCAGGTCAGCGTGCACTACAGGGGCTTCCACATCTGCGGCGGGTCCATCATCCATGAGTTTTGGGTCCTCTCCGCAGCTCACTGTTTCGACAGGTGAGTGAGTGGTGCGGGACGGCGGGGGGTGGGGGTATGGTGGGGGTAGGGGGGCGTTCCGGGGTGGCCCAGGGCCAGAGAGGCGCCCGGGCAGGACTTCGTGGCCTTGGAGAGGGAGAGGGGCCGCACGTAGCTCCCCCCGCCCCGCCCCGACCCGTGCTGTAGCTCTTCCGGGCCAAGGGAGGGATCGTCAGGGCCTTACGCATTCTGAGACGGGCGTGGAGCCAAGTCGTAGGATGAGAGGGGAAGCCAGGAGACCATCAGAGGAGGGGAGACTCACCACAGGATGGCAGGGCAGGAGCCACGCTAGGCAGGGAGGGGAAGCGGCACAGCAGAGGATGAGAGCTGAGCAGAGGTCTCTGGGCAGCCCACGGGACACCTGTACACGAGCTCACCATCCTGGGCTGCTGGTGACCAGCAGGTCCTGATGTTTCCCACGCCCTCCATGGGCCCCGGTCAGGACTTCTTTGGGGGCAGCTCTGCAGACAAGCAAGTCCCCACTGCCCCGCAAGGGATTGCTTTCCCCATCCTGGCCCAGAGCCCGGACGCCAGGCTGCCGCCAGTGCTCCAGGCCTGCCTGTGTCTGTGAGCTAATGGTGGCGCCTCCCCAGAGTCAAGGTGCTTGAGCCCGGTGCCTTTGTTCTCTGCCCCCACAGGAACAGGGATACGGAGGCCTACGATATGTACGTGGGCCTTGTGGACCTCATGGTCGCAGGCAGCCACACCCAGTGGTTTGAGGTGAACAAGGTGATCTTACATCATTCGTATGAAGTGCACCACCCTGTGGGAGGCGACGTGGCCCTGGTGCAGCTGAAAACGGCCATTGTGTTTTCCGATGCTGTGCTCCCCATCTGCGTGGCCGCGCCGGACGTGAACCTTCAGAACCTTACCTGCTGGGCTACAGGATGGGGACTCATCTCCTCAAAAGGTAAGAGAACGAAGTGCAGTGTCAGTACTTCCACAAGTCGGAGCTTGTGGAAGGGGTGAGGGCCCTCCGCCCCCGCAGGGGAGAGAGTGTTCTGTCAGTTACAGGGTTGCAGGCACCTGGGGACTGGAATTCCAACCTATTAACCACTATTTCTTCTCTCAGTGTGGAGTTTTGTTTTATCCCTGGCTTTGTTGTATACAGAGTAGTTCCTTCTACTTTGAGTGTGGAAATAATGTTTAGCATATCAAAACCACTAGTTTCACAGTAAAGTTTCTTAAGATTGTAAACTTAACTTACAAGTAACCTTTTTAGCCTATTAAAACTATTAATTATTTTCATTTTCTGCATAAAAGCCTTGTTTTTCTTTCTAGGTTTGTACCTGGGTACTCTAGAATTTTTTACTTATTATTTTTAGAGGGGGGAAGGGAGGGAGAAGGAGAGAAAGAGAAACATCAATGTGTGGTTACACCTCACGTGCCCCCTGCTGGGGGCCTGGCCCGCAACCCAGGCCTGTGCCCTGACCTGGAATGGAACCCGCCACCGTTTGGTTCCAGGCCACCGCTCAGTCCACTGAGCCGCACCAGCCAGGGCTAGAATTTTTATGGCTAAGTAAAAGATTCTTTTATTTTTTTTAAGTGTGTATTTATAATTTTTAATTGTATTTTTCCATTATCCTTTATCTCCCTTTCAGCCCCCTCCCCACTGCAATCGCCACACTGTTGTGCATGTCCATGAGTCCTTTTTCCTTTTTGCTGCATCTCTCCACCCCTTAAACACCCCCCCCGCCCCCCCCCCCCTCCGCTGCAAAGCTGTCAGCCTGCTCTCTATGAGTCTGTCTGTGTTTTGCTTATAATCAGTCAACAAACAACAAGTGCTGGTGAGAGTGTGGAGAAGGGGAACCCTTTTACACTGTTGGTGGGAATGCAGACTGGTGCAGCCACTGCGGAAAACAGTGTGGAGATACCTCCAAAAATTAAAAATGGAACTGCCTGTTGACCCACTGATCCCACTTCTGGGAATTTATCCGAAGAAACCCAAAACACTAATTTGAAAGAACATAAGCACCCCTATGTTTGTTGCAGTGTTATTTACAATAGCCAAGATATAGAAGTAGCCCAAGTGTCCATCAGTAGGTGAGTAGATAAAACAACCTTGGGGCATTTATACAATGATATACTATTCAGCTGTGAAAAAGATGATTTTACCCTTTGTGACAGCATGGATGGACCTGGAAAGATTCTTTTAAATTGCATTTGCTCATCAGTCATAGCTGTTGATTTTTGCACATTGACATTCTTTCCAGCCACCTTATGGAACTCATTTTTAATAGCTTGTGAATTGATTATTTGACTGTTCTAAATATTTTAAAATCATGCTTTTCTTCAAATAAGATTGTTTCATCACTACCCTTCCTATATTTTATCTTTTCTTATTGAATGGTTGGAAACTCTAGTGGAAATTATACTAGGTATCCTTTTATTTAATTTTATGAAATAAAATACTCTGTTCATGGAAATACTTCTAACGGTTTACTATTAAGTTTGTGGTTTGGTTTGGAGATTTTAGGTTGATACCTCATACCAGGTTAAGAAATTTAAAATTTTGTATACTTAATTTTAGAAAACGTTATTGAAGGTAAACTGGTATAAATTAAAATTAGGATGGTAAGTGTAATCCCCATGGTTACTACAAAAAGCTACAGAATATATACAACAGGATAATTTAAGGGAGTTTGAACACTTCACTACAAAAATATCAACTAAAAACAAGACAATGCTGGAAATGAGTGACAAACAAATTGCACAGCTGCTGAGGAAAATAGTATGGAGGTTCATCAAAAATTAAAAACAGAATCACCATCTGACCCAGCAGTTCTGCTTCTGGGCATACACCCCAAGTATTTTAACGCAGGGTCTTGAAGCAATATTTGCACACTCCTTCTCATAGCAACATGCTTCACAATAGCAAACCAGGTGTCCACTGACAGGCGATGGATTGCCAAAACATGGCATACGTATAAAGTGGAATATTATTTAGCCTATGAAAGGAAGGAAATTGTAACACGATGAACCTTGAGGAGATTGTGTTAAGAACAACAAGCCAGTCACAGAAAGTCAAATACTGTGTGAGTCCACTTACATGAGATACTTAGGGTATATCATTCTAAGTAAGTTTAAATTCTTCTTTATTAAAAAGAACAAATTAAACTTTTTATTTAGAGATTTTTTTACCTTTAATGGTAAGTAATGGTAAGATCTAGAATTTTCATAGCTGACCTTGCCTTTTTTGACATCTGACTTTGCACAGTAAGTTGTCTTCTCTGGAATAGTTCTATGAAGTGGAAATTAGCTGCTCCTTAAAGGTATATGATTTACCCATAAAACACTGTGACTCTGGTACTTCTTGTGGGTGTAAATTATTCCTACTATCTTTAATTTCTACGATGGTTACTGGTTAATCCATTAAACAGATTTATTCTTAGGCCGCTTTTTATGAATTATATTTTTCTAGAAAGTTACCCATTTCAGTCCAGGTTTTTATTATGTAATAATGTAATTCCTATATTCTCCTCTTAATTTGTTTTTTCCTCCCTCTCTTTTTTCCCCACCAAAATTTACTTATTCCGTTGTCTTTTTGAAAACTACCTGCCATAGATTTTATTTGTGTTGAGGTTATAGTGATGGGTAGTTACCTCATGGATTGGTTACTTTGCTGTTTGTTCACTTAGCCATCTCTTCATTTTTCTGTGTTCTTAGAGTTCGCTGAGTCACCCTTTTCTAACTTTTTGAATTGAGAGTTGGGGCGATGTACCTTCAATCTTTTATACTTGTTCTGTGAATGAATTTAAGATGATCAGTTGTCCCCCCCACCAAGGACTCCTTTGTTCATATAACATATTACAGATGTATTTGAACAGCTTGTTTATTACCCTTCCCAATTTTTTTTCTGCTTTCTTCCTTCTACAAATTACCCCCATCTTGAATATTATGTTTAATATTCCCATGCATGCTTTCATACCTTTCTTCTTAGAAATGACCCATTAACTTCTGGTCAAGAGGGCAGCATAGGTAAACATGACTTGCTTTCTCATACAACCACATTAGAATTACAACTAAAATAAAGGACAGCCATCATTCAGAACTGTCAAAATTGAGTTGAATGAAAGTCTCACAACTATGGAATCCACATCCATTCAGATCAGTAGGAGTGGCGGAGACGTGGGACAGACTTGTTCCACATCCATGGATGGTGGGTAAAAATTAGAGGGATATCTAGGGAGCAAGGAGTGCCAGGCCCACCAGCCCAGGGTTCCAGTGCCAGGAAGATAAGTCCCCATAACTTCTGGCTGCAAAAACCAGCGGGTATTGAGTTTGTGGAACAAACTTCTGGAATCCCAAGCAGTTTGTTCTTAAAGAACCCCTACACGGACTTACTCAGACTCACTCCCTCTGAGCTCCAGCACCGGGGGAGCAGCTTGAATGGCACCAGTGGCGTCCAGGGAGGAACTGAGTTTTTTGGCAGCAAGTCAGGAGCTGGTGGACAGCTTTCTCCCAGACAGAGATGCAGGCAGAGTCCACTGTCCCTTTTCTGAGACCTTTCCCCACAGAGCCACAGAGCCAGCCGGCTAGTGCTGTATATGAGACTCCATCAATCTGGCTAACACTATTAGCCCCGCACTGGAGATCCCTGGAGACTCTGTCCCACCCAACTTACAGGCCCACCCAAACTGTTAAGAGTTACTTTTCCACATGAATGGCTGGTCTTGGCTCATGCTACACAACTTCCTAAATCCTATCAAACAAGCCACAGCCAACCTCAGTGAGCCCCCAGACCCTCTACCACTTTCTAAGTGGCTCCAAGCCTAGCACTAGCAGCCACCAGCTTAGGTGAACAGCCTGGTTTTGCCTGGGAACCTCCAAGCCCAGCACAAGTAGCAGCCGTCTCAGATTGATTTATAGTGCATTTAGGGTGGCCCCAGGCAGAACACAGGAGGGGCTGACCTTGGCCTGCACCACCCAAGAAACCCCAGAGCCTGTGCACCCCATGGACAGCTACAGACCATGTCAGAGCACCACCACTCTACCCCTGTACAGCTGATCCTCCACAGAGGGCGGAGGTTGGTGGTCAGTGGTCACATCTAGCCCTTGCTGCTGACTGGCCTGGGTAAATCCCTCCCACTGACCTGCCAAAAGCAATCAAGGCTCAACTAAAAGAAGAGGTTGTACTCAGCCAACATGGGCAGACTTCGAGTACCCACATGGGCGATGGGGGAGGCTGTGCCACTGGACCTTACAGGACATGTACTACATTAGGCCATGATACCAAGACAGGGAATCATAGCAGCTCTACCTAATAGATTAAAAAACAAACAAACAAAAAACACGACAGGGAGGCTGCCAAAATGAGACAAACATGGCCCAAATGAAAGAACAGATCAAAACTCCAGAAAAAGAACTAAACAAAATAGAGATAAGCTATCTACCAGATGCAGAGTTCAAAACACTGCCTACAAGGATGCTCAAGGAACTTAGGACTTCAACAACATAATAAAAGACCCAATCAGAAACAAAGGATACACTCATTGAAATAAAGAACAGTTTACAGGGAAACAACAGTAGAGTGGATGAAGCTGAGAATCAAATCAACAATTTGGAACATAAGGAAGCAAAAATCAACCAATTAGAACAACAAGAAAAAAAATAATCCAATAAAATGAGGATAGTATAAGCAGCCTCTGGGACAATCTCGAGAGGTCCAGATTCACATCATAGGGGTGCAAGAAGGAGAAGAGAAAAAATAAGAAATTGGAAATCTATTTGAAAAAATAATGAAGGAAAACTTCCCTAATTTGGTGAAGGAAATAGACATGCAAGTCTAGGGAGCACAGGGAGTCCCAAACAAGATGGATGCAAAGATGCCCACTCCAAGACACATCGTAACTAAAATGCCAAAGGTTAAAGATAGAATTTTAAAAGCAGCAAGAGGAAAAAATTTAGAAT